TGGGGGCGATTGGCTGTAATTTGGGCCAAGCTCGGACCTGCTGGGCCTCGGGGAGGCGGGGCCGGGGGCGGGCGGCCGGGACCCTCCCCCTCCCGTCCTCCCGCGTTCGGGTCCATCCGGAGATCTAATCAGGCCCGCAACACTGTGTCCTTCCTTGCCAGGACTTGATTACTCTTTATCTTTAAATTATAAATCACCTCTGGGGAAGGAGGGTGGGTAATCTCTCATCGCAGGGAGGTAATTATCTCCTTCCTGCCCCCACCTAGGTCTCCACGCGCTCCCTCCCCACCCCAGCTGAGTGTGACTGTAGAGTGCATGCCCCATTCCCACACACACATATTCACACTCATTCACAAAGCACAGCCACATGCGCACGGATCCATTCATGAGCACCCAGGCGCGCGCACACCCAGGACGCAGCCTTCTGAGTGCAGGCACCCCCCTCCCTCCTCCCAGCCAACTCCCTGTTTGCTTGTGGCTCCTAGAACTCTGGGGGGGTAGGGTCACCAGGTCCCCCTCTGCTCCCTGGGGGCCCAGCTGTTGGTGGCATTGGGGTGTTGCTGGGGGAGGGGCGGGCAGAGCAAGTCCAAGGGGGGAACTCAGAGCTCCAAGGGAGCACACGTCGACCCCGCACCTGGACAGAGTCCCCAGCCACAGCCACGGCCCACATCGGCCTCTAGGCACCTGGGAGCCCTGGTCCAGACACCCACAGGCGGTGGGAGAAATGGCTGCCGAGTCTGGCTCTCCTACAGCAACTTTCAAGACAATGCCAGCACACACAACACGTCCCATAAGTGTATAGACGTGCAGAAGTAGTTAATATACACATAGTGTAATACAAGGCATAACGAGATGCGCAGTGAGCACCCTGGCCATGTGTCCCAGCATCACATACAACTGTACAGTGTTTTCCCAGCACACCGCCAGTGCTCTCCCTGCTGAGGGTGCGCTGGTGCAGGGGTGGTGGCCCCCCATACAGCTCAAGGTTGCCCCTCCTCCACCCACCCGCCCCTGCAATTCTAATGGAGCTGCAGCAGGCAGGGTACGGAGTTGCCAGCCTGGAGTGCAATGCTGGGTCCTATGGAGCTAGCAGGGCTGATGTGCATGGATGGGGCTGGAAGCTGTGAGGAGGTCGGCAGCCTGTGGCACCCCCACAGCCCCATCCCGGAGGAGCAGCCCGGCCCCAGACCCATGGCACCCCCCCCTTTGGCCACCCGAGAGCCTGGGCTATAAAGATGTCCTTTCATGCCTAATCACGATTGATTGTCAATTAAACCCTCATTGGTGCAATCTTTGCCCATCTGCCCTTTCAGGTTATCTCTGAGCCACCAGCCTCGCTTGTGGGGCCCCAGGTGGGCACTGACAGGTGACATCGCGCCTGGGACAGGGGTGCTGCTGCCTGCCTGGCAGACGGGAAATGTCCCGGTCATTGTGCAGCCCCAGGTGCAGAGGTGTCTCCTGGGACAGATGCGTGGCAGGAGTGGAAATGCAGGGGGAGGGGCGGTGGGAAGGGCCCAAGTTGGACTAGAAGAAGGAGCAGGTGGGGCTGACGTTTCTGGTAACTTTGCCCAGCATTACAGCTTTTTAAAATTTTTTGAGGACAAGAGCAAGTGGAGCCCCCAGCTCCACTGCTACCGCTTCCTGTGCTAATGGCCCCTCCTGCGTCTGTCTTTGGCCGGTTGTAGGGCTGGACTCCCCACGACCTCTGAGATCCTGCCACCTTCTCTTCCGAGCTGAGTGCCTCTTTCTCTATGCAAGTGGTGTGGATGAGACCCCTCCCCGCGCCAGGGGACTTTAACGGACCGGCGGGAGGGGATCGATGTTCCAAGGTCTCTGACTTCCCGCGCAGGCACGAGCCATCTCCACTCTAGTGCTTGCCTCATGAGACCCAGAGTCCCATCCGGTCCACAGGTGAGTGTCCCACTTCCTGAGCGTGGACTGGGTCCAGCTGCTGACTCCGGGCTGCCTCCCTGTCGGGAGGGCGCAGGAGGGCACAGACGGGGCTCTGCAAGCTCCTCTGTCCCCTCCACCCCTCGGCCGCGTGGCGCGCCCTGTTGCCTGCCAGTCTGGAAAATTCGCGTACAGCGTCCTGAGTGCTGCTTTATCAGTCACCTTCTGCAAGATACACTGCTCTTCCAGTTTTCTAAGCAGCCTAGAAAAAACACCCAACACTCGAGGGGAGGCGACGCCAGGAGCTCCAGTACCGCGGACAGCGCCCCGCGCCGAGCTCCGCTCCCTAAACCGGATATCCTGCAGGAAGGGGGCGTGGGGCGTGGGCCTTGTGTGGGGTCCCGGCATCTCGAGTGTCACACGCCCGAGCTATGCCAGCATCCCCAGAGGCCCGAGTTGCCCGAGGTCGCTGGCTCCGGGGGCTCCCGTCTGCAGCCCCGGGTCGGCACGGCGAGAGTGGAGTGCGTCCCGGGGTGGATCTGCGTGTTAGCGCAGAACGCACCCTCCCCTCTTTCTGGCCCTTTCTTGGGCACCCAAAGGGCTCACTGACCACAGGGTCAGGGCAGTGAGGACTGCATTTCACAGAGCAGGAAACAGAACAGAGAGAAAGAAGCATGTGTTCAAGGTCACCCAGGCTGCCGGTCAGCGGACCAGGCTGGGTGCCTAGAGGCTCCTGCCCCAAGTGCGCAAGACCTGGGGTGGTTAGTACTGAATGCCAGCCACAGCAATATTCCTGCCCCACTGCCCCGGCCACAGGCTGGTCCTCTCCCTTGTGTTTTCCATCGCTCTCAAATATAAACCGAGTCACAGTCCAGAAGTTGTTATGGCTTATGTCTGGGCTCTGCAGCTGGCAACAGGCCCTTTCCATCTGGGTGCTTGGGCTCTGGCACAGTCCCTACACCTGCATCCCATGCCCCACAGGGACTGTCAGGGCCTTTGGCTGCCTGATCTCCTCACAGCACTGTGCCATCTCTACCCTGAGCTTCACGTGGTCTGGCCTAACACGCCCACACTCTGGGCTCCTGGACACAACACGTCTCACTGGCCTGTACCGTTGTGGAGGGATGCAGGCAGCAACAGCAGGTTTGCACTGACAACAGTGGTCATGCTGTGCCCTGCTCCCACCCATGGGCGGTCTGTTTGGCTCCCGTGAGCAGAGCCTGGGCAGCCTGCTCCCTGCTGTATGGACACAGGTGCTGTGCATGCTATGAGGAGCGGCCTGGGCTGACACACACCACAGGCTGCAGACTCACACTGGCGCAGCAGAGTACCCTCCAACATTGCTGCCTGAGGAAGGTAGAGTGCACCCCTGCTGGGCTCTCTCTCTCTCCTTTCCCTTACACCCTCATTTCTCCAGCCCCTAGAGTACCAGGCATCCCACCTTGGCTCTGCCCAGCCTCCCCAAGGCCACAGAGTCCCTGCACACGGTGGCTGAGTGCCCTGTGGAGTGGTCTCGGCGCAGAGCTAAAGCCGGGATGTGCATTTAGGACACTGCTTGTGCCTCATCCTGGCCCCATGCAGCCAGGAAAGCACTGAGTCGGAAATGTGGCAGATGGGGTGACCTATCCACCATTCTTCCTTCCTGCACCCTCCCTCCCGGCCGTTGTCCTCTGGGTCATGCACTTCCAGCTCGGCAGTGTGGCCTGGCAGGCATCAGGCTGTGTGAGGTCCCTTGCTGTGTTTAGCACTGCAGCAGGAGCACAGGCTCCAGTGAGCAGCTGTGCCCTGGCCTGGGACTTGGGATGAGGGTGTGGAGCCCATGGGAACCTCCGGGCCCCAGTCCCCAGAGGGTGGAGGCATTTCAGTGGGGGTTGTCACCGTCCACCAGCTGGGCTGAGCCGCTGGGCTCTCTGGGCTGCTCCTCGCCAGCTGCGTCATAGCAGGACAGAGTGGCCATCATCTGCCCAGGGCCCATCTCGCCCAGGTCTTCTGCTTCCGTCTCCCCACGGGGCCAGATTTCCACGTGGAACTGCTTGGCCCCCTCTGCTGCTCTGAGGACCAGGCTCCTCCCTTCTGGGCGTTCCCTAGGGCATCCGATGTGGGAAGCGCCAGGCCCTCAGCCAGCACCCAGGTGCCACAGGGCTCCAGCTTCCAGTAGATCTTCAATCAGTGCCTGCAGGGCAGGGTGGGCACAGATGGGCCAGGGCAGCAGGAGCCGCTGTCAGCAGGGAGTGGCCGTCCTGGCACCCTGCTCCCCCCTCAGGAGCCCGACTAGGGCAAGGTGGCCTGGGTTAGAGTGGGTGCTGTACGCTGGGAGTAGGGGCGGGGGGGATTAATGTAGAAAATACAA